GCGGAGGTCGGCGCGGCCGTCGGAGCAGCGGTCGGCGTCGAAGTCGGCGATGCTGACGGCGCGGTCGACGGCGCGGCCGTAGGCGTTGAGCTAGGCAAAGGCGTCGGCGCCGTCGACGGCAGCACGCTCGGAGACGCGCTAGGGCTCGTCGTAGGAGTTGCGCTCGGCGCCGTCGATGGCAGAGCGCTCGGCGCGGCCGACGGTGTCGCACTTGGCGAAGGCGTAGGCGCGCTCGAGGGTGTCGCGGACGGCGAGGCACTGGGAGTAGAGCTCGGAGAAGGCGTCGGAGCTGAGGACGGCAAGCTGCTGGGTGCCGTGCTCGGCGCGCTACTCGGAGCTCCGCTGGGAGAGCTCGAGGGCGTCGCCGAGGGCGCTGATGACGGCGGCGTCGAAGGAAGCGACGTCGGCGCGGACGTCGGAGGCACCGATGGTTGGGGCGTCGGGCTGGACGTCGGCACTGATGACGGCGCAGTCGACGGAACCGCGCTAGGACATGGACTGGGCGGGTAGCTCGGCGACGACGTCGGCGACCGCGTAGGAGTCATCGACGGTGCCGATGAGGGCGATGACGACGGAACCGACGTAGGGAGTGCCGTGGGCATCTTTGAAGGCGTCGATGACGGCGTCGACGTCGGCACGGACGTCGGCGCGAACGTCGGAATGCTAGACGGTCCCAGAGTCGGTAGTGACGAAGGAACCGATGTCGGAACGTTCGAGGGCAGCAGCGACGGCCCCACCGTCGGCGGCGCGGACGGCGCGGACGACGGAGCCCCCGAAGGCGTCCGCGAGGGTTGAGAAGAAGGAGGCCAGGACGGCACCCCCGTCGGTGCGCTCGTAGGTCGCCTCGTCGGCGCCCAGGTAAATGACGTCGGCACGCTCGTAGGCACTCCCGACGGTGCGGAAGTCGGCGCGCTCGTCGGCGCCGCGGACGGCCGCAGCGACATCGTGGGGGCCGCCGTCGACGGCTTCGGCGTCGGTACCAGAGACGGTCTCGCCGACGGCGCGCCGGTCGTCGGACACGCCGACGGAACTCCAGTCGACGGCGCGATGGACGGCAGGCCCGTCGTCGGCGCCGCGATCGGCGCCGCGGTCGGGAGCGGCGTCGCGGTCGGCGCGAACGTCGGCACGGGGATGTCCCCCTCCGGCAGCCTCCGCCGGCACACGTCGGCGCCGGCCCCGAGCAGGTCCGTGTCGTCGAGGCGGCTCTTGAGGTCGCCGCGCAGGGGCGAGAAGTTGTTGTAGAGCCGGCCGCGGCCGAAGTAGTACGACGACCGCGCGCCGCCGCGCCGCGCGAGCGTGCCCGCGGCGAAGAGCCCCAGCGCCGCGCAGATCGCGAAGACCACGAAGACGACGCCGCCCGTGGTGCGGTGGACGCGCTCCCGCCGGCCCTTCCGGCGCGATCGGACGCGGTCGCGCATGTAGCGCGCGCCGAGCACCATCGCGACGAGGAGCAGCAGCACGAGCGCGCCGAAGACGACGACGAGGAACGCGTTCGTGCGCGCGGCCTCCTTGAGCAGCTGGCAGCAGTCGTTGTTGAGGCAGCCGTAGTAGTCGACGCGGCAGCCGCACGCGCCGCGCTGCACCTCGCCGTCGCGGTTGTACTCCCACGCGTAGACGACCCTCGCCGCGTCGTCGCAGTAGACGGAGTAGATCTCGCCCGCGCCGCGCACGTAGACGTCCTCGAAGCCGTCGCCGTGGCGCAGCGCGTCGTTGGCGTACTTGCGGCAGCCCAGGAACCGCTTCCACCAGCTCTTGGACATGAGCCGCACCTACGGAGGGTTAAGCGTCGCGAGTACGCTTCGCGGGAAAAAAAGCTTCAAAAAGGGGGCGACCGAGAAAAAAAAACGGACGCGGGGGACGCGCGATGACGTCGCAGTGGCCGTCGACGATGCGCGGGATGGAGCCGATGCGCGACGTGATCACGACGAACATGGCCGCCCACAGCGCGGCGCAGAGCGCGCCGAGCCGCTCGTAGACGCGCAGCGCGGCGACGTCCTCGTTGAGCGCCGCCGCGAAGCCGAACGCGCCGAACAAGACCGCGACGAGCCCGCTCGCGAAGCCGAGCCAGAAGTAGCCGTCGCTCGGGCTGTCGAACTCCGAGCCGTGCAGGGCGTCGTTGAGCGCCAGCGAGAGCGCGGCCATGACCGCGAAGAAGACGCCGACGACGGCCAGGAACGCGTTGCCCCACTGCAGGCCGCTCTGCACGACCTCGAAGAACGTGACGACGCGCTCGATGGGCCGCAGCGGCAGGAGCGCGAGCAGCCCGCAGGCCAGCAACTCCACGCCGAACTCGACCATGGCGGCCTTGAGCAGCCGGCCGCCGCGCGCGGACGACACGTCGCCGAAGGTCCGCTCGAAGGCGCCCGGCCTCGTCTCCTTGAGCGACTTGGCGAAGGTCGCGCCCAGTTTCCCGTTGGCGAGGAGGCAGGCGCCGAAGATCGCGCACAGGATCGCCAGGAAGAGGAAGCAGAAGAAGACGACCTCGAGCAGGCCCTGGCCCCACGTGTCCGCGGGCCGCTCGACGACGAGGCCGTCGGCGGAGACCGCGTCCGCGTCCGTCTCGAAGTAGCGCAGCAGGTCGCCCCGCACGCGCCGGCAGCCCCAGATGCCCAGCAGCGCGACGGCGCAGAGCGCGACGCCGAGCACCCACGCCGCGGCGACCGCGCGGAAGCGGCAGTCGAGCCAGAGGGCGAACGCCGCATAGGCCACGTAGGCGGCGACGACGAGGACGACGACGCAGAGCAGCAGCGCCGCGCGGATGAAGGGCTCGCGCTCGGCGACGTACTCCTCGGGCGTCTTCTCGCCGTCGAGGCGCTCGCGGTGCGGCTCCCACGCCGGCGGCGCGGCCTTGGGCGTCGTCGGCGTCGCCGCGGCCTTGGGCGTGGCCTTGGGCGTCGCCGGCGCCTCGACGGCGACGGCCTCCGGGGACGCCGCGGGCGACCGGCCCGTGTCGCCCGCCGGCGGCGGCTCCTTGCTCTCCTCGGGCAGCCGCAGCGGCGGCAGCGCGGGCCCGCGGCGGTCGTGGGCGTCGAGCTCGGGCCGCGGCGGCGGCAGCCGCGGGCTGGACGCGACGACGCGCTCCTCCGCCGCCGCGCGCGTCGCGCGCGCCTCGTCGAGCATCGCGTCCAGTCGCGCGCGCGCGTCGCCGACGTGCCGGTCGTAGTCCGACGCGTCGTCCGCGGCGGCCTGCTCCGCCTCGAGGGCCGCGAGGAGCGTCGCCTGGGCCTGGGCGGCCTGGGCCCGGAACTCGCGCGCGGCCGCGGCGTCGAAGGCCGCGAGCTCCGACCGGTCGCGGTCCGCGGCCGCGAGCAGGTCCGCGTCCGCGGCCGGGAGGCCCGCCGCGCGCGCGCGCCGCCGGTCCTCGCGCTCGCCCTGGGCGGCGACGAAGAGGGCGCGCTTCCGCGCGGCCCGGCGCTCGAGCGCGAGGCGGTGGCCCGCGTGGCGCCGCACCGAGTCGGGCGCGCGCGGCGCCGCGGCGGGCGCCTCCGCCGCGGGCGCGGGCGCGGGCGGCGCGGGCGTCGCGATGGGCGCGCGCGCCGGCAGCGGCGGCAGCGGCGCGAGCTTCGCCGGCAGCGGCGCGAGCTTCGCCGGCGGCCGCACGGCCGCGCAGGCCGGCGTGTAGGCCGGCGGGGCGCCGTAGGCCGGCGGCGCGGCCCGGAGCAGCGACGCCGCGTCCGGCTCGTCGTAGGAGCCGGGCTGCACGCGCGCCTGGCGCCGCATCGTTAATTGTCGACGTCTACGGCGATGCGATGATTGCAGGTGTGCTGCCTAAGTTTCCACGGGAGGGCTCCATGTCTTTGCGCACATAAAACTGTAAACGCTTCAATAAACCATTCAATCTTGTCGATGCAGCATTCGTTGAAGCTGGGTCGCAGCCTGATGGGGGGTCTCGATTCGGTTCTCTAGGGAAGACCCGGCGATGATCATACCGTACGGTCCTCTGGAGGGCGATTTCCCGCATGGTTCCCCGTCGTGGATCTTGCAGCGCGAAAGGCTTGTCTTCGGGGGCGCGGCCGAGCCAGTCGCCCTCGAAGTCTACGAGCGAAGCAGCGTCGTCGGCACAGACTCTACGGGAGAACAACTGCGTGACTTGGCCGTAGTGAATGGCCGCGTTGACGTTCTCCGCCTTCTCATCGCGCGCGGAGTCGACGTGCGGTATCCGACTGACTGTTTAGCGACCGCCGTGTTCCAACGTCACGCCGACGTCGTCGAGCTGATCCTGGACGCTGGGACGGATGTTGATGAAAATGGGGACGCATGGCGAGGTTGGACGGCGCTGATGCGCGCCGCGGATCGAGTGGACGTCGACATTATCCGCATGCTCCTTCGGCGCGGCGCCTGCTACAACAAGCGAAACATGTACGGTGGCCAGTACTACTACGGTCAGGATGCCATCGAAATAGCCAGCTCCAAGTTTGGGGCCACGGCGCGCGACGCGTTCGCCCTCCTCACGGAGGTACGCGCCGCGGGAGGATGGCGAAAGTACGAGCTTAACGGACTCCACCGCCTGTTCGCGCTCCGCGCTCTCTGCTCACAAGGTCGCGCGTGGTGCTACGATCCCATTTTGAGTCGCATTTTTCCTGACAACCTCGTCTGTCACCCAGTGCCCCGACCTCAGAAGGGGCGCCGTCTGCGATCTGTCTTGTCTGACCCGTATATCTTCCTGCATGTGCTTTCTTTTTGGCTGCCGCTGTCGACGAACGTGCGGACCCCGGTTCGCGGTCCGGGCCTTGGCCGAGCTCTTCTTGCCCTGAGGGAGCATGAAGCGCAGATGGAGCATGAAGCTCAAATGGAGCATGAAGCCCAGATGGAGCTGGAAGAAGAGATGAATTCCGACGACGAATCCGATTTCTACAATTCGGAAGATGGGATGAATTCTGACGCCGAAATCGATTTCTACGACTGGACCTCCGGGTAGGGCCTCTAGACGCGGTCTGCGCCACCCGCACATGAGCCCTGGCTCGATCGTAACGGTCGTTAGTCGTCCGCGCCGCGCCGGCTCAGTCGCTGACGGGGATGACCTTGTCGATGATGCCGTAGTCGCAGGCCTCCTGCGCGGACATGAAGTTGTCGCGGTCGAGGTCGAGGATGATCTGGTCCTGCGTCTGGCCCGTCATCATCGCGTAGAGCTTCACGAGGTTCTCCTTGATGCGGATGATCTGCGCGGCCTCGACCTTGATGTCCTCGGCCTGGCCCTGGGCGCCGCCCATGGGCTGGTGGATCATGACGCGCGAGTTCGGGAGCGCGAGGCGCGAGCCCTTGGTGCCGCCGCAGAGGAGGAACGACGCCATCGACGCCGAGAGGCCGATGTTGATCGTGACGACCTTGGACTTGATGTGGTTCATGGTGTCGAAGATGGCCAAACCCGCGATGACGGAGCCGCCGGGGCAGTTGATGTAGAGGTAGATGGGCTTCGTCGAGTCCTCGCTGTCGAGGTAGAGCATGACGCCGATGATCTGGTTCGCGAGCTCGTCGTCGATCTCCTGGCCGAGGAAGATGATGCGCTCGCGGTAGAGCCGGTTGTAGATGTCGATCCAGTCCGCCGACGGCGCGCCGGGCACGCGGTACGCGACCTTGGGCACGCCGATGGGCATCATGACGACGCTGCTCCGCGGCACGCCGGCGCGGCCGGGGATCTTCATCGGCGCGAGCGTCTTCGGCGCGACGAGGGCGCCGGCGACGGCGCACAGGGCCGCGGCGACGAGAGCGCGAACCATTGTGTCGGCGGGGGCTTGGCGCGGGACGAGTTACAGCGACTCGCTTGCACACCAGCTCGACGCTCAGCCCGCGATGGCTACTGCAATCTCGCGAGCGCGTCTGCACGTTGCCGTCCTCGAGGCCGAAGTTGCTTTGGCGTTTCATGCAGCATGGACGCTCTGCGTAGGTAGGCCGTCTACGTTCGAAGATGGACTACGACGACGACGCCTACGAGGCGTCGTCCTACCGTCCGTCGCGCTACGCGACGCTCTTCGGGCGCGTGTACCACCATAACGCGCAACGCTTCTCCACGGAGGGCAACTACTGGGGCAGCATCGCCTCCATCGTGTTGGCCGTCGGCGCCCTGGGCGGCGCGCTCTTCCTAGCCGTGAGCTGCTTCCTCGGCCTCGCGCGCTTCGCCCGCTGCCGGAGGCGCCACGCGTCCTGCTTCCGCCGGCCCGAGGTGAAGAAGCGCGTTTGCAGCGAGCGGCGGACGCGCGTCGCGCTCGTCTTCGCGTTGGGCGCGGCGTGCGCCGCGGCCTGCGCCGGCCCGCGGGCGTCGCTGCGGCGCGCCGCGCGCGACTTTTCGCGCCTCGCGGACGACCTCGCGGCGACGGTCGACGCCGTCGACGGCGAGCTCGCGGACGTCAGGGGAGCGCAGCTCCCCGTCTACGACGTCGCCGGCGGCGACTTGGGCTGCGCGACGGCGTCCGCCGACGCGACGCTGGCCGCGGGCGTCGCGGCGTTTGTGGTCAGCGCAGAACGCGCCGTCGCCGACGCGCAAGCCTACGTCGACGGCCTCGCGAACGCGCTCGCCGACGCGGCCCGCGTCGCGGACGACGCGAAATCGTACGTGACCCTGGGCTTCGGCGCCGCGACGGCGGCCTACTGGGTCGCCGCGGCGCTCTGCGTCGCCGCGCTCTACGCGGATCGACGGCGGCTGGACGGCGGCGGCCACGCGTTCGCGGCGCTGCTCTTCGTCGCCGGCGCCGCGACTACTGCGCTCGCGCTCGGTGGAGCGACGGCCGTCGCGGACTTTTGCGCGGGCGACACGGCCGCCGTCGCCGTCGTCGCCGAGCGGCTCGGCGCGGAGCCGGCGCGCTTCGCGGAGTTCTACGGGACGTGTCGCGGCGCGAACCCCGTGCGCAACGCCACGGCGTCCGTCTGGCGCGGCCTCGCGGCGCTCGAGGGCGCGCTGGACCTCGCGGACGGCTGCGGCGGCGAGGGCGTCGACGTGCTGCGCGACGAGATCAGGGTGACGCGCGCGAGCCTGCGGGACGTCGACGGCCGCGTCGGCTGCGCGGCGCTGCACCCGGCGTACGCGGGCTTCGTGTACGACGCGGCGTGCGGCGACCTGCTCGACGGCCTCGCGGCGTTCGTCTTCCTCGCGGCCGCGGCGGTGCTGTGCCTCGGCCTCGGCCTCGCCCTGTTCCCCTGCGCGAACTACACGCACGGCGACGCGGTCGTCGAGCCCGCGGCGAACCGCGCGTCGGGGCCCGTGCGCATCGCGAAGGCCTCGGGCGCGGGCTGGGTCATCCGGGAGCACGTCGTCATCTCGGCCAAGGCGCCGACGCTGACGCCCGTCGAGGAGATCCGCGGCCCCGCGCGCGTCTACGTCGACGAGGTTAAGGACGGCTAGCGTTCACGCCGTGTGCTTCTTGATCCAGGAGAGGACCGCGTGGTGCCAGACGAGGCTGTTCTGCGGGTTGAGGCAGTGGTGGTTCTCGTCCGGGAGGAAGAGCAGCTCGCTCTCGACGCCCTGGCGCTGGAGGGCCGTGAACGTCGCGAGCGCCTCGGCCGTGACGAGGCGGAAGTCCTTGTCGCCCTGGATGACGAGCGTCGGCGTCTTCCAGTTCGTGACCGCGGCCGCGGGCGAGACCTTCTGGTACGGCGACTCCGGCAGCTGGCTCTCGGGCGCGTAGGGCGTCCCGCCGAACTCCTTCTCCATGAAGAAGAGCTCCTCCGTGGACCAGTACGCGGACCGCAGGTCGAAGACGCCGTCGTGGTTCACGAGGCACCTGAACATGCCCTCGGGCGCGTGGCCGTTCAAGTAGTTGACGGAGAAGCCGCCGTACGACGCGCCGAGCCCCGCGACGCGCGACGGATCGATCCAGTCGTAGGTCTCGAGCACGTGTCGCACGCCAGCGACGGTGTCGTCCGGGCCGATGGACCAGTCGCCCGAGATGTCGCGGCAGTAGCCGTGGCCCAGGCCCGTCGAGCCCCGGAAGTTGACGGCCAGCACGCCGAAGCCCGCGGACGCGTAGGACTGCAGGTTCCAGCGGTAGTGCCAGTCGTCGCCGATGGAGCCCTGGGGACCGCCGTGGATGACGACGGCGAGCGGGTACTTCTTCTTCGCGTCGAAGTTCGCGGGCTTGAGGAGGTAGGCCTGGATGTCCGCGCCCTCGGGCGACTCGCGGCCCGGGCGTGGGTTGAAGAAGCTGACGTCCTCCGCGACGCCGAGGTCGACGGCGGCGAGCTTGGCCTCGTTGAAGAACGTGAGCTGCTCGAGGCCCGCGCCGTCGACGCCGCAGCGGTAGAGCTCCGGCGGCGCGCCGAAGGAGTCGCGCGAGACGAGCAGGCCGCCGGCGATCTCGCCGTGCACGCTGATGGAGCCGTCGGCGGCGCTGCCGAGGATCTCGACGGCGCGCGACGCGACGTCGACGACGCAGAGGCGGCGCCGCGCGCGGACGTCCGCCGTGAAGTAGATCTTCGAACCGTCGCCGGACCAGTGGAGCGACTGGGGCGAGTAGGCGAAGTCCGCGTCGGCGGCCACGAGGTCCGTCGTCGCCTTCGTCGCGACGTCGTAGAGCTTGATGCCGATGGCGTCGGCCTCGTACTGCGCGCCCGCCATGGTGAGCCAGGCGAGCTTCGAGCCGTCCTTGGAGAAGGCCGGGCTGAAGTCGTAGCCCGGGTTGCCCTCCGTGAGGCACGCGGCGCCCTCGGCGGCGAACGAGTCCTTGAGGTAGACGTGGCGGTTCGTCGTCCACGCCTCGTCGGCGGCCAGCGGCGGCCGGCACGATAGCGCGACGGCGCCGTTGGGTGCGATGGACCAGTCCTCGGAGCCGCCGAAGGCGCCGCTGGGGCAGGCCGTCGCGACCTTGGCGAGGCCGTCGACGGCGGCGCCCTTGGCGACGTAGGCGCCGCCCTCGAACGACACGGGCTGGAAGAAGGGGTGCGCGAACTTGGCGTCGACCCAGCGGTCCCACTCGCGCACGGGCAGGCGCTTGAACACGTGGGCGTTGAGGCCGCCCTCGGCCTTCTTGTCGTCGCGCGTCGCCGTGCCGTTGAGCGCGTCGTCCTCGTCGAGGTAGACGCCCGCGCTGACGACGAGACCGTCCGCCTCCCACGCGAGGTCGCCGACGGAGACGGGGAAGCGCTTGAGGAGCGTCGCCTCGCCGGGGCCGGCGACGGGCACGGTCCAGACGCTCGTCTTCTCGCCCTCCTTGCCGCGGTTGCTCAGGAACGCGACGAACTTGCCGCAGGGCGACCATTGCGGGCTGTTGGCCGACGCGAAGGAATGCTGCGAGCCCTTGACGAGCGGCGTGAGGTGCGCGTGCGCCGCGAGCGCCGCGCCGCTCGTCTCCGCGACGTCGACGAGCCAGAGCGTCTCGTCGAACTTCTTGGCGTCGAAGTCGTAGACCTTGGAGTGGAGCACGGCTTGCGTGCCGTCCGGCGACACGACGGCGCCGCCGACGCGCGTCATGCCGATGAGCGCGCGGCCGTCGAGCTCGCGCGTGCCGCAGGGCGCCGGCGGCTCCGGCTTGGACGGCAGCAAGCTCTTGAGCGACGACGCGGACAACGGCTGCAACGCCATGGTCCTACGAGTGCTCAAGCCGAGTGCGATCGCCGCTGCAGCGCGTGTGAAGCCCAGAAGCATGCAGCGCGTAGTTCAGGAGGGAGCTCGCGACGTCGACGGCGTCCGCGATGCGCTGCCACAAGCACGCGCTCGACGCAGGGGCTGTTTGCAGTGCACGCGAACAGGCAATGCAAATTGGTGATGATAAAGGTGCGCTGGGCTAACCCACGCATGGTGTAAACTCCGCCGTGAGTCTGTGTGTCTGGGGTCCCTGGGGGAGGCTGCCTCTCCGGCTGCCGCGGAAGGCCCGCAGGACCTCCACCGTCGCGGCCGCGCGCTCCTTGACGACCCCCGCGTCGGCCTTGTCGTGGAGCGCCTCGAGCGTCTTCTTCACGAGCATGTGGGTCACCTCCTCGTAGTTCCCGTGCTTGTCCGTCGTCAGGAGCGGGAGGCCCGGGACGCACCGCTCCATGCTCAGGAGGCCGGAGTATAGGCAAAGCCCGCCGTACGTCACGAACAGGAAGATGTCGTAGGCAGAGCAGAAGAACATGAAACAGGCCCAGGCCTTGGCGTGCACAGCGCTGTCCAGGAACGCGACCCCGGCGGGCTGGTCCTTGGCCATGAGGAGCGCGAGGCCCACCGTCTCGAGCACGCAGTGGTAGCAGACCGCGCATATAGAGACCTCGCGCAACGTGATGAGCGACCGCGCCGCCACCAGGGCGAGGTCGAAGTTGTTTGCGTGCACGGACGAGAGGCACACGCGGCAGACGATCGAGGTGACGGTCGCCTGCGCGCTCCAGAAGCCGCCGAGGACGGAATTCAGGGTAAAGACCTGCAAGTACAACGACTGCTGCGAACCCGAGGGCTTGATGTCAACGGCGATCGTGCGCAAACCCCGCGTAAAACACCGTCAGCAGCAACGACATCGTCAAGATCCACTGATCGAGCTGCGTGACGAGAAATTCTTTGATCTCGTCCGTGCTCCGGTGCAGAAACATGCAGCATTTGAACGCAAAGTGGTGGTCGAACGGCATGAGCCAGTTGATAGGATTGCGAAACGCCGACGTGCTCCGCGACACGACGAGATCCCACAGCGTCAGGCGCCGAGAGTGCGTCGTTCCGAGCGCCTTCGGGGCTGCCGGCCGGTTCCACGCCGGTTCCTCCGCGCCGACGAAGGACGTCCGCAGCCGGGCGGCGCGCTGGCCCCGGAGCTCCGAGAGATCCTCCGAGAGCGGAAGGTACTCCTGGAAATCTGGGTCGAAGTACTCGACGAGCCACTCCTTTTCCACCTGCTGCAGCGCGGAGTCTCGCTCCTCGAGCAGACGCCGCAGGTCGCGTCCGGGCGCGACGCGCACGCCGCCCAGCAGCAGCTTCGGTTGCCCGCCGCACGGGCTCACGTCTGCGAGAAGCCGAATGCTGAACATCGGCGGGGACGCATCGACTTCCTGGACCTCGTCGCCGGCACCACCGTCTTTCGCAACATCGGACATGGCGCCGCCGGATTCACACATTTCCTCTGCCATGTCCTCGGGGAGTATATTGACGCGCAGCGGCGGCAGCGGCGGCCCCGGGATTGGTGGGGCTGCGCGCTGCGGCGACGTGTTGCTATCGACGCATTCTACTCGGTTGCGAGCACGCATCGTATGGGCAGGATGCCCCACCCACACTCCACGAAACTCAACTTTTCATTCACGTTGAATTCACCGATGGCCGGATGTTAAACCTTGCACCCCACGGCACGCCGGAGGGCGCCCTTACCCACCTAGTCGCTGTCCGCGGTCGACGTCGTGAACGTGTCGCCGATGAAGTCGTCGAGGAGGTTCCTGACGTCGAGGTACTTGAAGCGGCGCGCGGCGCGGTCCCAGGTGATCGCCGCGACCTGGAAGACGGTGAAGAAGACCGCGAGGAGGAAGGCCGAGCCGACGAGGGTCAGCGTGCCGTGCATCTGCTTGCCGAAGACGGCGCCGCAGATGTTCGCGAGGGGCTGGGACAGCGTGAAGAGGTACTCGAAGATGAGGTCCTGGATGTCGCCGGGCAGGGGCCCGTAGAGGAACGCCCAGAAGAAGAGGAAGAGGTGCGTCGACGGCCGGGGCTTCCACGTCGCCTCCGCGTACATGTGCTCGATGGCCGCGGGGTCGATGACCGTCAGCAGCGCGTGGCGCTCCGGGTGCTTCTCGAGGATGTGCTTGCCGATCTTCGTGTTCCGGAGCTCCGGCCGCTTCTCCAGCAGGAACTGCGTCGCCGTCGCCGGGAGCCGCGTGTGGAAGGGGATGACCTTGATCTGCGTCGGATCCTCGAGGTGGCCGAAGCGCTCGTTGAGGAGCGACGGGAGCATCGTGTCGAGCACTAGAATCTGGATCGGGAGCACGACGCCGTAGATGAACGCCGTCTCGTAGCACAGATCCGAGAGCCACGCGAGCGTCTTCTTCGTCGACGCCATCTCCGTCGCCGCCGTCAGGAGATAAATAATCACGTAGGCGACGAGGCCCAAGAGGAACGCCCACGACAGGACCCAGACGAGGAGCGACGGCGCCTCGTCGGGCGCGTCGTACGCGTCCGTCGGCGCGCGCTCCATGCACTTCTCGTAGACGGCGCGCTCCGCCGGGAGCAGCTTCTGCAGCCGCTCGAACTCGATGAGCTTCGACGCCCGCAGAGCCAGCGTCTCCTCCGCGTCGTCGGTCTCGAGGTCCTCGAGCTCCTCGTTCCAGAGCAGCGCGAGCCGCATCTGCTTGCGGATCGCGGCCTCGACGTTCTGCCGGAACCGCTCCTCGTGGGCCTCGAAGCCCCACTGGGACAGCATGGACGCGTCGAGGCGCTCGATCATGGCCTCCGCGCGGTCCCGCTCCGCGGGGTCGTGCGCGTGGATCTTGTGCAGGTCCTTGACTCTCGCCACCAGCTCCTCGTGGCGCAGGAGCACGGCCTCCATGACGTGGGGCGCCAGCGCCTTTGCGACGAGCTTCCGCCGCTCGCGCGTCGGGTCCGGCCGGAGGAAGGGCCTGATGAACCCGCGCCGCGCGCGGTGCGCCCAGATCTTGTAGCGGAGCTTCCACGCCTTGAGCCACGGCGGCAGCTCGCCGAGGCCGACCGCCGCCGCGAAGCGCGACCGCTTCTTCAGGCGCGACGCGGCCATGTGCGCCTCGACGCGCAGGATGCGCGTCCGCGTCTCCGCCGCGGACGTCTCGATCTCCTCGGTGATCTTCTCGACCTGGGCAGCACGAGGGCGATTCAACGTCGCTTCAACGTGAGTTTTCCGCGCGCGCGCGTTCGATAAAAAGCATATGCGCTTCGAGATCGTTCCGAGAGATGATCGCTCGTCCAAAAATCAGCCAAAACGAGTGGAAAATGGCCGAGATATGAGCCTTTGAAGTTGGGAATGTCGCTCTCTTTTCCTGCCCCGTTCTCGACGATGGCCGCGTCCGCGGCGATCTCGTCCTTCGTCGCGCCGGCGACGAGCGCGCGCTCCTCGGCCGCGAGCCGGTCGGCCTCGGCCTTGCTCCCGCGGCGCGTGCCCCGCTCCATCGCCTCGGCCTCGGGGGGCGCCGGCTCGGGCGGCTCGGCGGCGGCGAGAGCCTCGACGACCGCGGCGAAGGGCTCCTCCTCGGGCGCCTCCTCGTCGAGGGTCTCGAAGAAGGGGTCGCCCTCGTGGACCTCCGGGAAGTGCTCGAGCGCGGGCTCGGGCGCACCCGCGGGCGGCGCCGGCGCCTCGCCCGCGCCGAAGCACTTCCCGGGGAACGCGTCGAACCGGGGCAGGCAGTGGTCCGCCCCGGGGGCGGGCGCGTCGTCCGGCGCCGTTTGCGCGTCGTCCGGCGCCGTGTGCGCGTCGTCCGGCGCCGGCGTGTCGTCGTCCGGCGCCGGCGGCGCGCCCTTGGGCGGCGGCCCCTCGACGACGACCATGGCCCGGAGTCGCGCGGCGCCGGCGCTCGCCGCGGCCCAGCTCGCGTTGACGCCGAGGATGACGTCGAGGGGCAGGGGCGCGATGACGACGTTGTCGAAGATCCAGCCGATGAGCTTGCAGACCGGGAGGAGGATGGCGAGGGTGATCGTGAGGAGCACCATGTGGTCGAAGTCGAGCTCGTCGCCCTCGCCCGGCTCGTTGTAGTCGCACGACGCGGAGCACCCGTCCCAGTTGCACATCTTCCGCGCGCCGTCGCTCAGCGCCTCGATGCGGAAGTTCTCGTACTGGAGGCAGTCGTCGCGCGTCGTCTCCTTGTCGCAGCCCGGGTCCGGGTACTCGAGCGCGTTCTCGAGCTGGAACGCGAACGCGCAGAGGAAGATCTCGAGGCAGAGGTTGAGGCCGCGGTAGAGGCGCGGCACGGCCTCGCTGTAGATGCAGAACACGGCGAAGACCTGGTGGTTGTACTTGATGGCCGTCCACGCCCGCAGCAGGCTCGGCCGCTCGAACGTCGACGCCTGCTCCGTGGACCGGTCCCGCGCGCGGTCGTGGAACTCGTCGGACGCGACCAACTCCGCGAACTGGTCGAACATGCCCGACGGCGAGTTCGGCGAGCTCGGCGAGCTCGGCGAGCCCCGCCGCGGCGGCGGGGGATCGTCTTCCTCGACGATCTTCGAGGCGCTCAAGCTCTTGACGCTCATGGCCGCCGGCCTCGGCTCCGCGCCGGGCGCGTCCGGGACGCCGCGCGGCGTCGCGTAGGCCGATAGCGCGGGCGACGGCGGCTCGAGGTGCTTCGGCGACTCGACGTCGTCGAGGGAGCTCTGGCAGCAGAGCACGGGCCGCGTGCGCCGCTGCTCCGCGCGGATGAGGGCGACCGTGTTCTGGGGGTCGTGGCGCCGCGGCGTGCCGCCGTGCGCCTCCGCTAAAACGCCGCTGAGCGCGCAGAACTCGAGCAGGTTGATCGTCTTGCTGTCGTCGACGTCGAGGGCCTGGAAGACCTCCTCGAAGCGGTCCCGCGTGCCGT